ATACATATAAAATAAAAAAAAAATTGAAAAGGGTAATTATTGGCATTCAGCTTCATTAGAATTCTAACCATGATGACTAGAGGTAAGAAAAAGCTGTGGTAAGAGACTATACATTACATAAGACTTTTGTTTAATTAAATCAAAAAGCTTAGTTGAATTTTTAATTTGAGAACACATTTACTGAGTTAAAATCGAAATTGGTAATTTAATTAATCTTTTTTCGATTAATCGAAATTTTGTCTAATTAACTTTTCGATAAATAAACTAAATTTTATTATCCTTTTTCAACAATCAATCAGTTATTTTCCACTACTTTTCTAACAAATTCTTTGTTTAAACGGTATTATCAAATTTTCACTCTGCTGTAGTATGTCTTATCTTCAGTTGTTTTGAGTTGCAGCGCCTGCTGGTCACTGCAAACGCACTTAGGCCAATAGGTCCATTGTGATACCACTGTGAGGCTTCTCACATAATCAATCCATTTCGTGTGCCTTATAAAGGCAGCGGGATCTCCAATTTTCGCTGGGGCTAACTCATCGCGACAAGTGTTACCGAGGAATTCGTGTCGCGCAGATGTCAGGGGTGGCCGAGGTAGTGCTCGATATACTCCTTCTTTACTTTTATTTATTAAATTTTATTTCATTTTAATTTAATTTATTTTATTTTATTTTAATTTTATTTTATTTTATTTTATTTTATTTTATTTTATTTTATTTTATTTTATTTTATTTTATTTTATTTTATTTTATTTTATTTTATTTATATTATAGAATTTATTTAAATTCATTGAAAATAGAATCGAAATCTAAAATTAGTTGTGACCTTATCCTAAAATTCTTGTTGCAAAAATTTGAACTATTTTTTTCTTTCTACTCAAATAAAAAAACAATTAAAGCAGCTGCGCAAATCCCAAGTTACAATCGCCAACCACCAAGAATGCAGTCTAAGTCCTATGTGGTTATTTGTTTATGTAATTATTGGACAGTGTGCGCGCTTTGTTGTTGACCAATCAGCGTTACAAACATAGAATGGTAACCAGCTGTGCGACGTTTACCACTGGGCGCTGTGGGCCACCATAAAGTGGCCTACGTGGATGACTTTGCTCTTTGGCTTCGCCTGTTGACTGACACTGACAGTGCCGCTGACTGCTTAGTTAGTTAGTCCATTGCTTACAACTATTTTATTTTTATATTTATTTATTTACATTTTATGTGACTAGCAAGCTTAAGACAATGCGAGCTTAGCATAGCGCAAGACGTCACCGGTGCGCAATCAACGCTGTTGGTGTCGAATATGGTATTGTATCGTGTATACCAGTATATGTAGAAAGGAATATTAGTCGTTGATGATGTTGTCACTTGGTATGCACCTTTGGCAGTAAGTAATGTGGTTTTTGTTGTTGGGGTCTTAGAGATTTTTTAATGATTATTTTTGCTCGTGTGGGTGTATTAAAAGTCACTATCAGAAACGGATCCGCATAAAAAAATACAAATATTTAAATCTTTAGTGAGTTTTCCTTATAATGCACTCATGCTGTAATATATACGTATCTACATACTAGGGTATTCCATTTTCGTTATTTTAATTTATTTCACCTTTTTATGGTATTTTAATTCTGATTATTTTATTCTATCTAATATTTATTTTATTAATTAATCTAATTTATTCTATTTTATTATTTTTCTTATTTTATTTTATTTAATTTAGGGTATTTTCGGGTTTTTAATTTTATTTTATTTTATTTCATTTCATTTCATTTCATTTCATTTCATTTCATTTCATTTCATTTCATTTCATTTCATTTCATTTCATTTCATTTCATTTCATTTTATTTCATTTTATTTCATTTTATTTCATTTTATTTGATTTTATTTTATTTTATTTTATTTTATTTTATTTTATTTTATTTTATTTTATTTTATTTTATTTTATTTTATTTTATTTTANTCGTGTTCCATTGCATTTACGCGTGCTGCTTAGGTTGTTATGCGTCAACATCTGCGCCTGCGCCTTCCGCAGCGTTTGTTATTGCGCATGCGCGGCATATATTTTATGTTTTAACAATTCTAAACGCGTCTTAGCCAAGCAAGCGATACTTCTAGCTGTAATCATTTATGCACCTACTCAAACACACACACACAGTGATTCTAGCACTCTCTTGCTCTCTCACACAATATGCCCGCAAAAGCATATTAAATTTTATAATGAAGAATTTTTTAATGCAAGTCGTGATGAAGATGGCTGACGGATTGTGCAAATTCTTATTCTTCTTCTTATTAATATAATTTTTTTCTGTTGCTAATATAACTCGTATCTGATTGTGGGTGCTGTCATCATCATCTTTGCCATTTTTATACGTACATACGTATGTGCCTTCATATATACGCCAACGCGTAAAAAAATCTTAATTTTTCTAAATATTTCTTTAGTTAAGTAATTATTGAATAATTTTTTCGTATTTTTTTAGCCATTTAAATTGCATTCGCAATTTACTCAGCAACTGTTAAATTAAGCTACGTTTTGCTTGAAATGAATTTCATTATATAATTTTAATTAAAAATTCATTGTGCAACTAGCTCTGTTGGTGAATTCTCAGCAAGCTCCAACGGTAAATTTTTCGAAAAAATTGAAGCCTTCGATAAGACTCATGAACGCTGGGCGAACTATGCGATCCTACGAATTATTAACGATAGCGAAATGGCGGCGCAATAGCAGAAAGTTTGGCATTGCGTACTTACATTCAAATGACCGGGTCCGACCATGGCGGTTGCCCCTCGGCAGATAATGTCAAGCCCTTCTAGCGTAAGTGTAGATTTGTTCCATTGTTAGAAAACATCAACGTGCAGCTCCTCCAATTAGGACCTCGATCGTGGTTTGAAACCCTCAATTGTACATTGTGTGGGAAACGATTTTTTCCTGTCGCCAAGTTCGCACAGCGCTAACTTTACAGAAGGCTCAAAAGGCTGCAGTAAAGTACATTCCAAAGCGTCCGAGATGTGTCTCCCTCTGGTCGGCCATAAAGGTTTTGAAGTGAAGTGAACAAAAGTGAAGACATTGCCGACTGAAATTATTTTTTAAGTGTAAAAAAAAGCTGCTGAGACTTTTATGACTCACGAATCAAATCGTGTGATTTTAAACGAGTTTCTGGGCACTAAATGAGTTGACGCTTCACAAGTTTCGACATAGCAAAATATTCTTCACAAATGGTTCAAACAGCTCACGACTTTCGGTCTTAGAAAAATTGCCCTCTGATTAGCTAATAATCATCCGTGTGGAGGCGGATAAGTGTGACAGGGCGAACACACTCCGACGCACTCCTGTTAAGGGTCTGCCGGGGACTTACTAACGTCTGTCCACCACGAGATCGTCTGTTTTAGATTAAGCAGTTTGCTATATAAATGAATATTACTAAACCCCCACCCCAGTTAACGAATTCTACTCACTATCCTTATTCAATAAATCGAGCACATATATCGAGGTGACCATGATAGGACATATTTTAAAAGTTGAGTACATTGACCAGCGCAAGATGGATGTTGAGAATACTCATACACATATTATTGATCGATTATAAAGGTAAAGATGTTTCTAAAACCGGAAAACACTACCCTAACGGAAGTCATTAAAGTGAAAAGACGGGGAAATAGACGAGATGTGTGTTGCTTCTGCGGCAACGCGCCATTCTGCAAGGGCCGCTTTAACTGCCCTACATAAATTGGGCTTCGTTATTTTAAACGCCTCACTCTACAGCAGACTAGGCTCTTGTTTCTAAAAATAAAAATAGAGCTGGGGGTGGCAGGTGAATATATTTCCCCCTTATTCCCCATTCCGCAAACCTAAAAGCTCTTGCGTATTAGTATATATATATCGATGATATCTAACGGAGGATCCTGTAAACGTGCAGTATCGACGGGTTCGGAGGGGGTTAAATGAGTTGGTTTTAGGGGGCATACAAAGAGGCGGTTAGTGTCGCGCTGTTAACTTTGCATACTGGACATAAGTTGGTTAATCAATTCTATAAAGGTAGAAACTAATTCGACCACAACAACCAGAAATTAATTGTGCATACTATTATAATATTACCAGGGTACGAGAGTTCATGAAGGTGTTAACGGACTCTTAGTGAATGGCGCTTAAAGTATATCAGTACGCGGTCTTGTTCAGCGGCTCTCGTCTAAAATGCTGTATTTTCCAGATGGAGGTCTTCGTTATAGAAAAAGCTGATGAAATCGCTAGCAACGCACAAAACTATATACATATATTGACAGTCAGGCGGCAATTAAGGCAAGTATTGCGACAGTAAATGACCCTAAAAGCAGAGAAGCAGTGGACAGGGCGGCCGAGAGCAAACGACTGCATTTGTACTAGATACCTGGCCACAAGAGCATTCATGAAATATCAAATGAAATTGCCGAAACTGCCGTGAGTCGTACTAACGAACCAGAACAGGCTATACAATGCTATCCACAATGTGACTGGAAGCCGGATTAATGTGAGGTAGAACGCCTGCACGCGACATGCAAAACCACAAAGATCATATACAATACAGGCACAGTTGTTGGCATAATGGCGAGCCCCAACCTACTGGCATAACAAATAATCAGATTAGGCATTAGTGGCAGTGACACATGCGGGATATGCAAGCAGGATGTCATGAACCTATGTTTCTGCCCGGCATCAGCTAAAACTCGTATTAAATATCAGGGTACTTCGCGGTTCAAAGGACTGGAGCAGGCCAGGAAATTGAATATTAAGGCTAACTTGAACTTTTAGAAAGGCGTTGATGTCGAAACAGAACACACTTCTTTCTGGCACTACGAAGAACCAACGGATCTATGTGAGACGCATCAGCCGGTCAGTGTAACCTAACCTAACATTTATTAGTTAAAAATGTTATTTTGAATTTTGATAGCAACGGAAAGTTGGGGTACAATTTATTTAACAATATATGTACGTACCATACATTATTTATGTACATAATTAAGCAATAAATAACTCACCTTCAAAAGTTCTTACACCGTTGACCACTCCAAGTTCATTTCTACTTTCGAAGTATTTTGCTCTTTATTGGTTCTTGAATTAGCATTTTAATAGATTTGGAATACATTTTTAATTTTCTTTATTTACATACATACATATACTTATATACATATATACTTTGTTATTGTTGTTTTTTTTTAACTGGCAATGTATGTACACGTATGTATTAAAATAATAATAGAATTCTTTTTATGGTATCAACAGAATATTATACTAAGTTGGAATATCAGCTTATACTTCTTTGGAGCGTTCTTTTATATTGTACAACACAGCTGCACTTTCCTTGCGAAAAAACACCGTAAAAACAGCCACAATTCAAAAGCACAAAACAACAAATATAAATTTATTATTTTTGTTACTCACAAACTAAATAAAATTGTATGAATGCCTTTCATATGTCAATACATATATACATACACAAATATAAAAAAATTAAATATTTATTGTTTTTGTTTATTCCACAGATACCACTTTGGCAACATGTGCTGATCAAAACATTTATAAGTATCACCACTTACGTCGAGTATGAAGCAGCGCGCGCGCGTTGCGTCAAAAAAGTTGAGCAGAGTTATGGAAAAATAAAAAAAAATTCCCATAAAATGTAAAAACAAAAAATTATTAGCATCGTCAACGTGGACACAACACCTTAGCGTTACACTTATTCATACATACACTTATGTTATATGTACATGCATACATACATATGTATGTGTGTGTGCTTATGAAGGTGCGTAAGAATGTATTTGCATTCCAGTACGACACTTTCTGACGGCGGCTTGCACTCACTCACTCACTCACTCACTCGTTGGGAGAAACACCTGAACGCAAACTCTTGTTGTGCGCCAAAATTTGGTGCGGGGAGCTTTGATACGTTTAACGTTAGCGACGGACAATATTCAGCGAATGCTGTTGCTTGTTGTTGCTGCGCACAACGTACTTTACACGCGAACGTCTCAAAAACGACTGAAAGTGATTGCATAGAAAAAACCGGACCGAACTTAGAGCTACAGCTAACTGAATTGAAGAAAAGCTTAAAGCACGCAAGCAACGAGTACGAGTTCGCGACACTCGTTTGAGTACATAACGTCTACTGTAACCAGCTTAAAGGTGGAGAGTCTAAAATGGCACTGCAAAGGCTTTGACTGAGCTTACGTAAATGTGTTTTGAAAAGTATCGCAGTTTTAGCTCACACGAGCTTGGGGTGAAGGGATTACTCAGGTGCTCACAGATAACAGTCACGGCGATTGAGAAACGTGGTATCTAAAGTAAATTCGAGACTTCTCACCAGTATTGATCAGTCTCTTACCTGGGCAAACGCAGGTGCAGCTACGCTTCGGGCTCTCAAACATTGCTCATATTTATCTCGTTCCGATGATGGTCAATTAAAATGTATTGATTTCGAGTACAATTCCCTCGTTGTCTTTCAACGCCTCTTACTGCGTATTATCTAATTCTAAATCGTTGCAAGTACAAGCCATAGTTTGCCACTTCTTGTTTACATTTTCACTGCGATACACTTAAGTTTTCAATGAGAGGCAACACATTGCTGCAACAAATGTTACAACAGCAAAAGCGAGCATATTCATCAAATGTTAACCAATAATTTTCAACAAAGTTAATTATGCAGGTGTAGAGTTTAGTGCATTTCCTGCGCTGAATACGCAGAACGTGCTTCCTGTCTTTTAAAAGTCATAGCCTACGCAGAGTTGCGTTGAAAGCAGCACGAAAACAGTACAGATAAATTTGTTCTGAAATTTCAGATATGTGATATTTGAATTTGAAATACCCAAAAATCTCACACAGCTGGGTAAACAGATGTCAAGGAACAATAAAAGCTCCGCTAAAATGAGGAAGGACATTTCCGAGCCGTTCGATACCAAACGAGGTTTCAGACAAATTAATTCCTGCTTTAATTTATTTCTTGAGAAACTAATTGCATGCTGAATAGAGAAGATAAAATCTTCTATAAGAGTGTACAACTGCTGGCGTACGTCGATAATATTGACATGATTGCTATGAGTTCAGCATTCTCCAGACTGGATAACGGATAACGCTCCCGGCTCCCGTCGGCTCACATGTCACTGTTGACAGACTTGGACTGGTTTCTTCGTCTATCTTAGAACCCGCACTAACAAATCCAACGCAGAACCACACTCACCAACAGGTGCTACTTTGGAGTGGGTAGGCAATTGAAATGTAAAACCTCTCTTGACGAACAAAGAGCAACCTATTAAAATAGCATATACAAGAAGCTCATCATTCACGTCTTGGTATATGGTGCGGAGGTATGGATGGATGTATTGTAATATAAGAATGCTGCAAAAAAAACTTTTCGATGCGATACCTGCCGGTGAAAGTAGAGAAAGACCCCCTCTTCGTTGGAAAGACCTGGTGGAGAAGGACGTCGCTGTAATTGGTATTTCCGATTGTCCCCAAACAGCGTAAGGAAGGAATGAATGGTGCGCTGTTGTTAATTCGACTGTAAAAGCGGACGCAGGGTTTACGCCAGCAGAGAATTCGAAGGTGTCATTTTTGACAAAGAATTAATACTCCTCAGCCGTTAAGGAGTGGCCACAAAATGGAGGACAGGGTTCGAACAAAGCGCCAATTAAATCAAAGTTGTTAGCCGCAGTAGACAAATGGTAAGCAGTGGGCGAACTCAAAGTCCGGCCAAAAAAACGTCAATAATTAAACAAACTTCCTTTTCTTAATACATATGTATCTGTAAATGTAGATCACACTCGCGTAATTCCCTAGATTGACCGTGAGCTTGGTTGATAGCGATTGTAAAAGCTAGTTGAACAGGGAGCTGTTGTTGCTTGAAAAACAGTATCGGACGGAATGATAGGGACTCGAGCCTTAGCCTTTGAAATGTCGGGTCAGAATTGTTGTCTACGCTCCGTACGTTGCGTTTCTCTGTTACTTTTTGACTGCAAAGCGCGTAGCGTTGCGGTAGAATTCTCGCTAATACCAAAGAATTAAAAAATTCTGTTAGATAATTGGCTGCCTCATCTTCTATTACAACGTTGCCTATTAACTTATGTATATGTGACAGATCGCAGGCATCTTATTGGGTTGTCCCAAAAGTATCGGCGATTTCTTAAAAGTAAGTTAATACATTTCTTTAAAGTTTATAATGAACTTTAATCAATTATGTAATTTCCATTTTGTTGTATGACCTTTCGTCATCTTTCCGGCAACATGAACAGAATTTCTGACCTTCATCTGCAAGAAATTCAACCAACTGCGATTTTATAGTCATTTAATGAGTTTTGCAAAGGTCGAAACAAATGGTAGTCTGCCGGTGCAAAGTCGGGGCTATATGGTGGATGCATCAACAGTTTTCAGCCAAGCTCTCTCAGTTTTTGGCGAGTAACCAAACATGTGTGCGGTCTAGCATTGTCCTGGTGGAATATGACAGCTTTACAATTGGCTAATTCTGGCTGCTTCTAGTTAATGGATGTATTAAATTTGCTCAGTTGTTCACAATAGACATCCGAATTAATCGTTTGGTTCTTTAGGAGCAGTTCAAAATATACCATATCCTTCCAATTCCACCAATCTGGCAGCATAATCTTCTTTTGATGAATATCAGCCTTTGAAATGGTTTGTGGCGCTGCATCATGCTTGGACCATGATCGTATTCGATTGACGTTATTGTAAGCAATCCATTTTTCATCTCCAGTTATGATTTGCTTCCAAAACGGATCATATTCTTAAGATGCATATCACAAGCGTTGAGGTTGAGGCATGTGAAATGAATTTCTATCAATTCATGTGGCACCCAAATATCAAGTTTTTTTTTTCAATCCAAGACGTCGTATGTGATTATGAACGATTGACTTTGGTATACTTGACTTCTCTCCACTCGCAGTCGCAGTTACGTGACGATCCGATTCGATTAAAGCCTTGATATCGTCATCATCAACTTCATTTGAGCGAAAAATCTCCCGAACGGAATTTGACAAACCAACTACGATACTGTGTTTCGATCTATGCTTATATCCAAATCATACTAACTTTCATCAATCTGTCGTTACACATTCCACCTAAAGAAGAGAAAATCTCGAGTAAATCGAACTATCCATTTCCTGGAAACAAAAGTATTCCACTTAGGAATATCATTCAAAAGTTTCACTAAAACAAAACAGGAATTTATATACATAAAAAACCCGTTAAAAAAATTTCAGTACAACAAGCGCCACTTTCACTTTTATTCCCTTAAAATAACGGACTGGATGTTTAGGAGATGATTTTTTCTACACTAGCTCAGCAGCTGAAGACCGTATCAAAGTAAACTGACCGCGCGAGAGTTACAACTTTCAACGTTGAACGACGGTTGGGTTTGGGCCGCCGCGTAAAATTCCTCAGATCTACTCCGAGTGTTGCCTATGGCCAGACATCGCGTTGTATTCTTCTCTATCTGTAACAAATTTATGTACTGTAAGGAAGTGTAAATCTGCTCTGGTTATATTTTACTCATTCCTTTATGACTCACACAATTCTTAACTCAAATTCAATTCTTGACTCTAACGATAGAATGACATTATAACCGATTTTTATTCACTGTTTCCTTTACCTAATAAATTCATACCAACCTTCAGTCAGTGATTGGTAAAATATACCAAGCTAAATGGGCGCTAAAACTCCATCCACATTTTAGAGTTCACTAACTTTCCATGGATCACTTAAGGTTAGTTGCATTGTCTATTCTCGGAATCGGTAAAATTTTCTAAGTTGAATTTTTTTCATTTCTTTTCGAAATAGGTGGTCTCAACCGCACCAGGATCGTAGAAAACACCTTAAAAACACAAATGGGCGTAGGAAATCGAGAGCAAAGCGTTTGGTTAGTATGAGAGATTGTCTTGCATCCTTCTGGATCTGGGTCGTTTTGAATTTGATTTCTGCTGTAGGCTGCTGGCCTACAAATAAATATAACTATGGTTCAATCCTTTCCGTTCGGAGGGTAGGCTTGCTAGGCTTGCTATGTTAGCCGACAACAACGTTGTGTCCCGAAAATTTCGGCGGCAGCTTCTGTGCAAAAAATATTGACGGCCGACGTATTGCAGCTAACTCACACGGGCGTACGTTCAGTGGGAATTTAGCTTTGATGTATTTTCCTACCTATTTTGGTACGCGCCAACAGGTACTAGTGCTAGTTTGTGACCTGTTGTAATTGGTGCGGAAGAGAAAGCAACTTTACAGAATTTGGTAGGTCTGATAGCAAACGGCTGCCGACGTAGATCTTAACGTCGTGGAAGATCTCAGACTCTACCTATCCTTGCACTTGGAAGGCCTTAATTAGATCAAGCTCCCTCAACGGTCCTACTAGACTTTATATTTTAAATCTGGAAGTCTAGTGGCCAAATGTGGCCCACAGCTGGTTCTAGGGGAGACATTTTTATTATTTATTTATGATTTCTCTTAATTTTAAAAATATTCCGAAACTGAGATCTTAACATCATCATCGGTGATACATTTTTTACTCCTAAGTTTTTTTTTCATTTTTTGAATCAGCTAATAATAAATGGGGCCAGTTGTGGGCTGTAGAATGGGTGATTCAAAATATCGAGGCAAATCTTAGCAGGACAGACAACGCAACGCGGTCTTGTTTTTGCGGAGGTATGTGCATATTGGGCACCCATGGTATATGACCAAGAGTCGGACCGCAATAAAGAAATCGGTGAAAAAATGGAGCTTTTGGGACAAGTAAGTGATGTAAAGATTAAAACATGCGCACGTCGCTCAACAACAACTAATAATATTGTTGCTTTAGCCCAAAGTGTTGAAGAAAGACCAGGTTTGCCCAATCCTCATCGGTCATTGGAATCGGGGATTTCACAAACGTAATTACACCGTACTTTGAATAAAGAGCCCAATCCGGCCGATCATCAAAAAGGTGGTGTCTTTGTGGATTGCGTTCTTGAATTGGCATTAGAATTAGCCAGAATTTCATCGAAAAATCATCTTGACTACTGAGATCCATTTCCTTCTC